TGTGTGTGTGTGTGTGTGTGTGTGTGTGTGTGTGTGTGTGTGTGTGTCTGTCTGCATGTATGTATGTGTCTGTGTTGTGTATGTGTATACACACAGAAACCAGAAAAGGATATCAAATATTCTTTATCACATACCACCTATTGCTTTTTGACGCAGCTACCATTTCTGTCTTCCATTGCACTCTTATGCACATAAAAATAAAAATGAATGTGCAGGATGTGGTGGTAGAAGCCTTTATTCCCAACACTTGGGAGGTAGAGGCAGGTGGATCTCTGTGAGTTCAAGACCAGCCTGGTCTACAAAGCATGTGCCCAAATGGTCAGGACTACATAGACAAACAAACAAACAAACCCAAAGTAGAGATATACACCTCTTTTAATCTTTCCCTCCCAAATTCAAGTGGTTCCTCACCCGTACTATATGTTGTCATGAAGACCTAACAATTGGTCAGAAGAAATACAGTAGCACAGTTGAGGATCCTATTTTTTCCATTTGTTAACATTCTTCCCCACTTTCAGCTAGTTATGTCTACTCCCAAGAACCCACATTTCTGATCTTGATTTTGGAAATGTAATAGTCTTTGATGACCATTCCCAATAAGGCTTCACCTACCATTCAGTCATGACAAGAAATTTCCATCTGCCTACCAACCTAGGGCTTAAGGCTTGGGCGATTGAAAACACTCCCCAAAGGGTTGGGACTGGATTAACTTAAGTGAGGATCATTCCAAGCATTCTCCTTCCATATGTTTTCCCACAGAGACTTTCTTCTTTCTCCTCCTCTGCCTCTCCAGCCAGTCCTTCATACCTCTGCACCCCTACACAGAATATTCCCATTGTCCACTGGCTGCACACACAGCCTGACGTCACTGTAGAAAAGACACTGGATAACCAGAATGCTCTCTGTGCTAGCATCTTGAGACTTGGTCTTGGCTAACTTCTGGCCACTTTCAAAACCAACCTGCCTTCTAAGATTGTCACATACATCCTCAAAGCTTTGTGGTTTCTCATGTACTTTAATTTTTTGTTTTTCTTTTTAAGAAGGGGGGAGGAGATACTGAGTTTTGTGTTCCCGGCACACAAAGGTATCTGGTTAAATATGAATAATGTTGTTACACAGAGGTATGATGTTGGAGTCTAATTAAAGTTCTGTGACTTTTCCCAAGTTGCCAGGCGTTGGGTCATCCCCTGGCCAAAGTTGCCAAGCTGCCTGTGAAACAGGATCCTAGGAAAGAGAACCATCAAAGGCAGCTGTGAAATTAGGAGGGCTTCTCTTGCTGCACAGATGAGCATGTCCAGGGGAGTGCCCTTGAATGTCACTGATGTGAGGTGTGTGCATTGCTTTAAGAGCCTGGCTTAACAGGGTGTGGAAATGGAAGTGCCGACACTGGAGCTGGAAGATGAATGGAGAAGCTGGCATCCGCTCACACCAACAAGCTCCAGGCTGAAAGGCAGAGCCTGCCCCTACCCTCTCCATCTAGAGTTTATTTCAGAACTCTGGGCACACAGACCTCAATCAGACTTTTTACGTTGTTCTCCTGGAAACTGAAAATAGAGGTTCTGAGCTTGCAGGTGTCTACAAGGAAGGACAATTCTCAACACAAGAGTTTCTTGTGATCTGTTTTTCTTCTCATCCCTGTAATGAATGATCTGTTTAGCTTCTTATTCTTATGAAGCCTGGAGACCAAATTCACATAGAGATACACATAGAGAAAACACTCACAGACAGACACACACACACACACAAATGCACACCACCTCTCAACCTTGAATTCTTTCTCATGCTCTGTTGGATTCTGTTACCTTGGTGACTCAAACAAGAAATAAGTTTTATTCTACTTAACGATGGATGAGTAATGATTAAAATTTTAGAATTCTCCCAAGTTAAGATGCTAGCCAAACGTGATTAAGCTTCAAGGCCAGTACCGTTTTGAATTCTGCATGTTCTATGACTCAAGCATATAGTGTCTTCAGAAATAGAGTTTTGTTCTCAAGTTCTGGTGGATAACCAAGAACATGGCAATAGCCAATGTTTGGGGATCTATGGGACCCCACTGGCCAAGAACCCTAAAATAGGTAGCCCATTCTTGTCACTGGGCATTTTATTTGCTAGTCTGTAGTGTTTAGTAGGGGCATTGTCTCCCCTTATCCCATTACAGGATAATGCTACTTAAACTGAGAAAATATCCCCATCAGCTAGGCCTGTGATGTATTTTCTTAGTTGACAATTGATATGGGAGGGCCCAGCTCATTGTGGGCTGTGTGGGAGGGCCCAGCTCACTGTGGGTGGTACCACCCCTGGGCTGGTGATCTTGAGTGTTATAAGAAAGCAGGCTCAGGGTTGGAGAGATGGCTCAGTGGTTAAGAGCACTGTCTGTTCATCCAGAGGTCTTGAGTTCGATTCCCAGAAACCACATGGTGGCTCACAACCACAACCATTGATAATGTGATCTGGTGCCTTCTTCTGGCATGCAAATGTATATGCAGATAGAGCACTCACATACATGAAATAAATAAATAAATTTGAAAGAAAGAAGAAAGAAGGCTGAGCAAGCCAGAAAGAGTAATCCAGTAAAGAGAATTCCATGGCCTCTGCTTCAGTTTCTACTTCCAGGTTTCTGCTCTGCTTGAGTTCCTGTCCTGACTTCCCTCAGTGATAGACTTACCTGAAGGTGAATCACTGTAATAGAAACCCTAACTAAAACAAGGAGTATTATTATGGTTTGTGTTTGTTTGTTTTGTTTTTCTTTTTCTTTTCCTTCTTTCTTCCTTTCTTTCTTTCTTTCTTTCTTTCTTTCTTTCTTTTTCTTCCTTTTTTTCTTTTTCTGAAACAGGGTTACACAGAGAAACTGGCTGTCCTGGAACTCAGAGATGCGCCTGCCTCTGGCATGCACCACCACTGCCCAGCTAAAGGAGTATTGTTTAATAGGCGCATGTTTCAGTTTAGGGACCAAGTTCCATTGACAAGCAGTAATGGTGATGGCACAACAATATGAATGTATTTCGTGTTGTTGAACTGGAACGCGCTTTTGAAAATGGATAAAATGATCAATTTTATATCATATTTTACGAATTTTAAAACGAGCCCCAGGGACGGAGCCCTTAAATCTTCAAGATCATCGAGGACACAACCAATATAAAATCAGTGTTGAGCCAAGAAACAAGGCGTTCTGGCACCGTCCCTTTCTCCTGGTTTCCCAGCTCCACCCATGCTTCTCACACCCAAAGAATAATGACCACTGTGGCTTTCTCCTTCCTGCCCCAGCTTCCTGTCTTGGCCTTCCTCATGCTGACTGACTGCCCAGACCACAGTCCTATCCATTTGTTTTCGTGTTCACCCCTTTGCCTCACTTTTGACCTTCAGTAACTTGCCAGGTTGTTGCTATCTGTGACTTTTTTTTTTTTTTAGTGTGATTTAAAGTCAAACTTAAATAACCCATCTGTTTTAGATAAAGCCAAAAAAAAAAAAAAAAAAAACACCAAACCACTAAAGTCAGTGATCCCCGAAATTTCCTTTGGGCTCTAATGTTCAAAGAAAAACAAAACAAAACACTCCCCTGTACCATACTGCAAAAACCCATATGCACTAATGCTATTTGCTCAGACTTTAAAGAAAAAAAGTCCCCCGTTCTTTCTCAGACTTTAAAGCCATGCTCATAACCAATATTAAATTATTTTGATCCCTTCTTCGGAAATATCAGCAGGGAACAATCATTGGGGTTAATTAGTACAACCTGTATCTGCTCACTGTAAAAAACAAAGTAAAAAAGTACTTACAAGTAAAGCACTAAGAATTTTCCAGGATCCTATTCCCTCGGAGATCATCCTTTTAAACACTGTGGGGCATAGACTTGTGTGTGTGTGTGTGTGTGTGCGTATGTGTGTGTGTGCTCTCGAGTGATCATTTAAAGACCAAGAAGAGACTTCTCAGAGTCTAGTTTCACATGGAAGTCACTGCTGTGTGCATTAGCTTGAGAGAGATGTGAGGCTCAGACTTTAAGGCACATGTTCAGAAGAACCCAATCAAACCATAAACAGTGTGCTCCTTAGAGTCATGACAGTTTTTCTCCCCTTTTATTTAGTTTGAGTGTGAAAGCCAAGAACACTCAGATCCAATAGTGATAAATAAAATTCTAGCAAACCAAGGCCCCACTTCCTGGCTGGCTAACAGCCGTGTCTTAAGGTACTTTGAGACAATATTGATGAGCTTGGAAACCTAAAACTGAACATGCCCAAAGGTCACTGAGCCCAAACCCTTCCTAGAAAAAGTGTGCAAATCACTCAGTGGCTCCACAACTCTCGCATCTTAAGGTGCACCGGATGTAAATCCCACGGGACCTTTGGTCAATAGGAAATATGTCTTACGGTCAGAAAGTCTGTGTTCGCTGGAATGCATGTAAGCCCACTTCCTCACAGCTGACTGATGAGAACTGGTTTCACCTGAAGCTAGTAAGTTACTCTGCAGTGGTTCTTCACCAGGCTGTTTAGTTTGAACTGGGTGGAGTGGCCAGCATCAAACTCTTTACTAAAAAAATTCAGTCTCAAATGAACTGCCCTAATGAATAAACTGACGCTTTCTAACTTCTTCCAGAAGCTCTCTTTTTTTGTCCTGATTGTTTACTACTTAACTAAAAAAAAAAAAAAAAAAAAAAAAAAAAATTCCATCCCCAGAACCTCTCCTTAATGTCTCCACATCCTTCTTAGAATATAATGGTCTCTATAACACCCACTGATGCTAGAATCACTGCTGATAATACAGAGCACTGGCACCGATGTGAGTCACCGTTCCTGCTTTCCAAAATGGACCTCAAAACAAATACATAACCCAGTGTGCTGGGACACACTTCTGACCCCAGCCCTTGGAAGTCTGAGGCAGGGGGTCATGGGTTCAAGGCTAGGCGAAACCTGTACTTACTTATGATATGTCCTATGTTCTTATGACTACAGAAGCTAAAGCCACATTAACGAAGGAAACAGTGTACTCCCACAGGCTGAGGACCGGAAGAACTGTGGCAGAAAGGTCTTAGCAAAGAACCAAAGAAAGTGTGATTTGACCAACTATGTTGCTTTCTGCTGCCATAATAGTTCATGACCCTATGGTTCTAATGTGCTTATTTCTTCTTCCCTTTCACCTTTAGCTCAACCATAAATTTCCAGGAACGGTTCACATGGCACGTCAGAAACCCACACCTGCTCTGGAGAAGGCTGCTCCACTGAAGAGGATCTACATTATCCAGCAGCCTCGGAAATACTAGGACAGGATGTAAAACACAGGCAGCTGATCAGTTCTCCCGCGATCTGACAGCTCAGCAAAGATGGCCAACACTTCCTGTGGGCCTGATGATGCCCTTGTTTGATAAATAAACCAAATTTTGTACCTTTACTTTTCACTTTAGATAATAAAGTTTCCAAAATTACAAATCCAATACATTTCCTGTGCTCCTCTTGTTACGTATGAGGGCCCTGTTGGAGTTCTCTGTGAGGTTTTGTAGCATGAGAGAAGAATCCAGGACACTAACATCTACCACCCTGGGCCAGGGCTCATCTCCTGGATACTGACTGACTTAGTCCACACATGCTCAGTTTTCCTTGCAGACAAAGGTTGGGGAATCGGGGGCCACACCTGCCTCTTGTCTGTGGGGTGGTGGTGCCAACGTAGAATACCATCTTCCCCTCCCTCGTCTCTCGCCATCTGTGGCTAGCAGGAGAGCTGGCCCCAGGGTCATGAGAGTGGGAGAGCTGGCCCTGCCCCTGACCAGCTGCAGCACTCAGGAGTGTAGGCCCTGCACCTCGCCTGGGCATCAGGGTAGAGCTGGCCCTGGTTGCGGGGGAGGCAGGGCTGTTGGTGAGCCGACCCGAGGGCAAGAAAGCAGGAGAGCTGGCAGGCTGACCAGCTAAGAGAGCTCTCAGGCCCAGATCCAGGGCTTAGACTTGGCGCACCCAACATCTACCCCCTGAACTGCTGGAGTGCATGAAGCAGCTAGTCCTACAAATCCAAAACCACAGGATCTCCATGACACTGATCAACAACAGGGTATCCAAGAGGAGGCCCAGGCAGGATCCAGTATTGATAGCGTAGCGGAAGCCAGAGGCCTCATACCAGACCAACGACTCATTACAATGAACATTGCAAGCGAAGGAGTGTGGACCAAAGAGTATATTGTGGGACACACTGTGACACACTACAACTTCCACACAAGAATTTTTATTGTCTCTGTTGTGGGGGGAAGCTGCAAAGGTTGAGGGCAGATATGAGGGGAGGAAGAGATGCGTGGGATTGGGGTTCATGATGTAAAGTTCACAAAGAACAAGTAAAACGTTTTAAAAAAGAAGAAAAAAAATTAATTTGAGACAATATCAAGCCTGCAGTTGATATCAGCTTGAATCCATAAAATAATCCTAACCACTCCACCTAGGCTTAGAGCCCAGGTCCCAGTTCTCTGAGCTATTGTTAGAAAAATTCTGAGATTTAAGAGACAGAGTTCTGCTTCTGTCCCTTGCTCATTCCGAAACCCTAACCAAGCCACCTTCATGACCGTTGTCAAATGGCTGCAATCCTACGTGTTCCCCCCAGCTGAAACCTCTAAGACACAGTGACCCCCTCAGATTCACAAAAGCTGTTTAAGGAAGAGTAGCGAGAGTGAGGCAGAAGCTGCTGGAAAGAGAACAGTAAGAGGTGAACAACAAGGGAGGGGATTTAACGTAAAGAATCCAGGGGCATGCGAAGGGCTGGGGTCTAAAGGGACAAACCTGGGGAACGTAAGAGAAGTGACAAAGATGGATTAAAACGGGCCCAAAGAATGTGAGAGGAGAAGAGCATCATTCTCTCTGTCCAGAGATGAAGGATGTACTAAGAGAGAGAACGCTCAAAGGCACTCCCCGGTGAAGACAAAAGCATGAATTTACATTTACAACTGAGTTACTAACTATGGATCACCGGAAGCAGCAAGCCAGTGTGACCTTTAGATACGAAAGGAACCTGGAATTATCAGAAGAAAAAGGACCAGACCTATGAGAGAGTGTCTCACTGACATGGCTATGAATGCAGAAAGCCAAGGGGACTTCCCTACCAGCCAGAGAGGAAAACCCTGCACGGATGTGCTGTGGCTTCCCTGCTGTCACAATTCCAGAAAGAGTCACGGCAACGGTGAAGGGGAACCCATGGGCTGGTGATTTTCTGGTAGATACTTTCCTTCAGACCATTTCAAGTCAACAAAATAGCCGAGGTCCAAAGATGAGCATAAGAAACTGTCCCTGCTGCCAGGATCTCTTAGAACGGGGATGAGGGCAAGGCGGTAAGTCAACAGAGCAAGAGCTGCACGTGTTTTAGGAAAAGATGCTGTGAATGAAGCTCGCAGGATCACCCAAGGATCACATTTAGCCAACAAAACCGTGGTGCAGACCACTAACCCAGAAAGTTAATAAAATGCTTAAGTTACACCTTTTATAGTGAAAAATTTCAAACATCCTCAAAGCTTGGGTCAATATAGCTATTGAACCTTCACGTGTTCAGTAGAAGGCCCCAACGATGTGACCAGTTTTGTTTTCCCCACGACATCCAGTTCCTCACCTGCCTCCTTTCTCTCCTCCTGGGTTCTTTTGTAGCATGGTCCAAATATACAGTTTCCTCTGAAAATGTTTCACTGTATTATTTCTAAAAGATGAGTGCTTCTTGCCTTTCTCTTTTCCTTCCTCTCTCACTCTCCCCATTTCTTTGTCTCTGTCCCCATGCTTAGACAGACTCTCGGCAAATACTATGGAAGAGAAGACAGCATTTTCTTAAACCACCAGGACACCAGGAATCTTCTTCCATAAAATGGAGATTGCCATCACTACCCTAGTTGCAAGAGCCAAAGCAAACAATCAGAAGACACACAGCTGAGGCCATGAAACTGGAACTGCAAAGCGGAGAATACAGAATAGAAGTGGGCTTTCAGGCGGAAGGAGCAAGCAAAGTTAACAAGAGGTTGCAGCGAGTGATGTAGAGGGATGGAGAGAAAGCGCTGGAGAAAATGAATTCTTGCTAAGGAAAATGATACAAAGAACCATCTCTAAGGCCACTCAAAAACCTGGGATAGAACAAGAACCAAAGCAAATAAATGGATGTCAAATAAAACTGTCTTTACTCCACCGATGCTTGCAAGGCTCTCAGTAGGAGTTGCGCTCTTCAGAAGGACCCCAAAACAAGCCTTGCATTTGGCACATGTGGTGTCTTTAAAACCAACATCCCTGTACCAGTTGGAGTCTCTATCCCATTCTGAATAGATAAGATTACCTCATATCCACTCCTAGAGTCCCCCTCTTTCCAAATCCATTCCCATGTGCAGTGAAATCTCAAAACTTCCTCAGATGGCTGGGAATTCTCAGTGGGTCCATGGTCATAGCCACCTCTGATTTCTGATAAATTCATTCATTACTTCCTGTCTCTGTCTGCCACCCTCATCTGGATGCCCAGGTTTTCTTGCTGGCTGGGCCCCATCCTTCCTTTTCTTATTCTTCTCCTCTCCCTGACTCCAGACAAGTCAGCCACTCAGCTATTTCCTGGCTACTTTAGGGAGTTGGTTTCCCCCAAAAGAGCTCCCCAGCCCCAACAAGTTTGCCACCAACTGTGGGGGTGTTAACATTGCAAGATGACAGAATGGCTAAATGGTGAATAGTTAGCAACAGAACGTAAGCCAAGGAAAATGAACAGTCAAAAGAAAAAGGAGAAAATGTTCAAAGACTATCAAAAGCCTGAAGGAAAAAATAAGCCCCTGAAAGGTTAAGCGCATCTCTGAGGTGAGGTCGGGGGAGTTTCTCTGGGGTGCCTTAGTCATAAGGCTGTTCTGCATCTTCCATCCCTTAAGAACAAAGGCTAGAGGGGAAGCTGAGAATTCTCCAGATAGACAGGCTCTGGTGCAATTTTGACAAGAAACAGAACTGAATTTGAAGAAAGAGATCTTTGAGTGGAAAGACCAGTTGGGGAAAATAATCAAATCCCCCTCCCAGGACAAGAGTCTTGCAAGTTCAGGCTTTCCGGGTTTCGTTTAAAAGGTGGAGGGTTGGAGTTGAAATATCATGAAAGTGAACAGGAGCATGGGGCAAAAAAGATCCTGTGCATTGATGTGATCCCTCAAAGGGCCACAGAAAGATAAAGGGAAAGCTGGAGCGGGATTTCTTTCCTGTGTACAGCAAAAGGCATGAGCTGGGGAAAAGGGCCGGGGAGACAAACGGTGGCCTCTGCATTAAAGGGCACAGCACCAGACTGCAAGGGGTCTGTAATACTTCCCACACAGGCTTTCCAAACAATCAACAATTATAGCAACATATTTTGGGTGACCTGGACACCCACCCATGTGCCAGCAGACACCGGACCCCGGGTACACACCTGCTCTATATCTTTCACTCCCACCGGGTACAATGCGCCGCTGTTGTAATTATCTGAAACTGATGAGAAAAGACTCAACGCATCTTCTCATGAGCACATGTCACAGATTCTGACCAGGAAAGGTGAGACTTGAGTCATCATACCCTTGCTGACATCAAGAAACTATGTATAGTAGCCAGCATCATAGCTGTTATTTATTATAAGAAAAGCTGCTTCAGTCAATACTGAGGCTCCAGTAACTTCATTTCCTTTTTTTCTTTAAGAAGGGTTCATCAGTAACTCAAGGATAGAATAACTAGAAAGGGGGGAAAAAAAAACTACGAAGTTGTAAGGCATCCATCCGTAATCCCAGAACTCAGGAGGCTATAGGAGGAAGACGACATATTCATTGCCAGCCTGTGCTGCACAGCAAGACCTTTGCTCAAAAAGTAGAAGGCAAAATAACAACAAAAGTACCATTTAAGAGGGTAAATGTAATGTAAAAGATTGTGTCACTTCTATTCAGGCACTAGCAGGGGTTAAAATTAATTTCTTAAAGCATAGAAAATTGAGAAAAGAAGTAGTGAAGGGAAGTCCTGCTCCCCTTTAAACTGCAAAATAATGAAACATTTTTTAGTGTCTTAAAGAGAGCTTTCCAAAGGAATATAGCCAGAGGCTTTCAAGAATAAAACAGATACTGCTGCAAATGCATTTAAGGGAAAGCACGGAGAAGGAAAATGAAGGTGAGGACCCTGGGGCAGAAATAGCAAAATCAAAGAACAGATGCAAACAGAATGAAGGAAATGAGAGCAGAAAAAGGTCACTCAAGAACAAAACCATTCCCTTCTGACAGCTGAGGCCCGGGAAGAGAGGACTGTTGCGAGGTGACAATGAGCAGAATAAGAAGACATCCAAAGACAGGGATAATGGAAGGTTTAACTGAACTCGTCGAGTGCAAGGGAGCTGAGTGTCGAGCTTTGCTGTGGACTAACAAGAAACAAGCAGTCTGACCGCCAGCTGGTCAAGTAGTCCAGCTGGCTTCCAAAGCAGGGAAGCACTCTCAGACCTGCAGATGTCACG